CATTCGCAGCAGCTGGCAGTGGAAGCGAGGCAGGAAAACACGCCGGGCGGACGGTGCGGGCGTGGGGTGCACTCGATACCGCTTGTTGTGGATTGACGGTTAATCATGCATGGCGGGCAACGTACTTCTTCCTGTGTGGGAATCTTCACGTAGGTGGTGTGCTACTGCCGGATTCCCGCGAAACGGCGGTGTTTGCCCCTCATTCCATCCCTTGACCTGTTGCGACCGGTGGCGTTAAACACCATCGCGCGTCCCTGGATGGCAGAAATCCTATTGCCTCTAGCAACTCGTGACCGAGTGGTCATACACATTCGTATGGTACGGCCACCAACCAAATACATACATTCCGCGACGAAACCCCACCCTTGCTAAGGCGCACGTCTGAAGGACAACCTCCTTCTCTCGACCATACAACCGCCACCGAGCAACGATACGCGAAAGCGCTGCGCAAACGCTATTGTTGCGCTCAGGCACTGCCGTATCGTTTTACTCACTCGCCCCCGTCGTATTGGCATTCCTCGACGTTGTTCTCTGTAGAAAAGCACACGGCAAGAGGAGGGCAATTCGCGGAGTTAGCACAAGGCAAGGACAAATGATGTGATCTACGAAACTCCAGTCACGTCCACGAGCACTTCTGTTGGAACAATATCCGGTGGGTGCACGATTTCGTACGATGGGTCCTGCTGAGTGCCCGGGTGTGTAGGGCTGCGGCCTGATGGTATACCGGTTGTCAGAAGAGGAGAACATCGACGGTTCTCGTCCGCTCTCTCGGCGCGAAACTAACAATTTCATCTACGTTCCTCGCCAACGTTGTGTAGGGCGGGAAAAAAATCGCATTGGTGCCGGGGTCGAATTGTTTTGTTGTACCCTTAGCCCATCAGGGTGTAGAATCGAACACGAAAAACACCACGAATGCTTAGAAACAACGTCGAGGCCAGCTGCTACCTCAGGCTACATCCAATTTCGAACGAAAACGTACTACTGGTACACGACAACACGAAACACGAAACACGAAAACGCACCAATACCGTAGTGATTTCGACGTGTAGGGCATATTTTGTAGGACCGTGAGCACCTTGAAGCTCGAAACTCGATACCGGGAGGAAAACCACCACAGATCTGGGATCGGGCCTATGCAACGCGGTAGCTGTCCACCAAATGTTTGACCGACAGCGTTGTCTCACCAGGGTCGCAGACCATATCTTCGATGGCGGCCGTGTCTCCGCCCGATCCTGCGCATTCTTCGGTGGCTGCTCGATGCGATGACCACCCAAGGATAGCAAGGGAAGGGAGAATGTCCTAGCCTCAGAACGAGCTCGAAAATGGATGTTTCATCGGTAGTTCCCCAGTGTTGGAGCCAGCGGATTGAACGTTGGACGGAAAATGCCGTATCACATATTAACATCCTGGTACGTTCCAATTCTAGCGAGCTGATTCCTGTTTCGCGATAGCGGGGGGTGTACTCATAGTCGTACATGCCGTGGTCGTCAGAAGATTGACCTCGCATCCCTGCATAGCCGGGACGGAGCACGCCGGGTTCTCACCGGACCAGGCTCTCACATCACCAAGCGCGAAGCGCTGTGCACATGTGTTCTGCGAGTCGCATGGAGGGTGCGCTGCATCCTGCTAAGGGTGTTAGGCACCTTGTGCGTACTTCCTTCCTTACGGATGACAGCTGCGCATGATGTGACTATTTATCTGGTGCATTCCATAGACAATTATCAGCACTCTGTGTAACTACCTCGAGGATGTTTGACCAATTTCGCGCAACGTGGTGCGATCATCCCGTTTTCACCTCGTGAGGGTTCTCGACCCCGCACGACATAATCTACTGGACCACCTAGACTATGGCGATCGCGGGAGCGCAGAAAACCACGCACGAACTGTTTCTCCGACCTCGCCGGCGTTGGCGGCACGAACGAACAGACCTTGTGTCTCCTCATGAAAAAACACCAAATTCTGGTGTGACATGGTAGCTCATTCTTTTCTCTGGCGTGCTGTTTCGGTATCTCGGGGTCCCGCAGCGATTGCCTGGCAGCGATCGCGTTGGGCGATCTCAATGTGCTTCCGAACAACAAACTGAGCTTCCTACGGCTGCCCAGATACAGTGGGTTCAGTTTGGTGCTCGGATGGTCTGACTACATTTCGTTTCAGAGGTCAGGGCCATGTCGGACGGTAGACGGATCATGAGACGGTGCTGCACTTCATTAGCCACAGAAACTTGGCGTCCCCTGGACAGAGACGTTGACCCCAGGCGAGACAAGTTTCAACAATTGTTTTGACCGCACTCTCCCACGTGATTCCTTCAGCCTTCGCCATAGTGAGCTACCCGATAAATATCAAAGCATGATATTATATGAACTTCAAGCGTGAAACAGTACCATATGTTGCGTAAGTGAGTTTGTCTTGTTTCATCACTCAATCATGGGTCCGAGACGAATTGATTGCCCAACCTGGTCTACAGACGAAACATTTCGACCGACTTCAATAGTGACCCTGAGGCAATACTTGCTGTGACCACAACACCAAGCTAAAACGGAGAGGAACAGGAACCATTGCATGGTTTCAACAAACGTATTCAAACAATCGAGAAATCTCGTTTCCCGTGCTCAGATGGCAGTAAGCTCTATTGGTTGCTCAAGGACGAAACGAGCAAGATCTGATTCGGATCCTGCTTCTTCCACATGTGCGTGTCGTTCAGGACCGAAAAAAAAAAATCACGGCGGCGGGGGGGGGGGCAGCAGCACCATAGACAAACTTCAATCAGTACGTTGAATATCACGGAAAATGTAGGAAGCAAGCATGACTGTTTCGAAGTGGAAGGCTTCGTGTAAATTCGTTGCGTCACGCTGGTGGAAAGCTGCGCCTGAAGACGAGCTTTCGAACTGACGGCAATGTTCGGGAAATATGGCAAATAACCACCCTGCCTCTTCCCGAAACGCCTACCCTTGTGGCCCGTGAGAACGTAGACATTTTCCCTTGGAGGGCAGCTATTGGTCAGCTCACCGCAATTCCCGGCAGAACCGCAAAAGCCAGCGCAGCAGTCAGAATCTGCGGTACACGCATCCCCATCATCGGAGCAGACGAAGTCTCCGTCATCTCTGAACTCGGACACAGCCACCTGGGAAACAAAAAAACGTTTCCGCACGCGACCGATCAGCCGTAGAGCATCGCGTAGGTGCAGAAGCCTAACACCGTCAAACCAGAGGAAGTTCCGATCTCGTCATTTACGGCAAGCGGTGATTAATTTCGAAATCCGGTGGCGGCGGCGCTACAGGTCACGAGTAGCCTTCGCCTCGGCATGAACTCGCCTATTCCAGCGCTAGCTTCGTGTGGGGTCGGCCCCAATAGACAACAGATGGTTTTGCCTCCAAACGATAACCGGTGTTGTCTGCTTTGCACTTTCAGAGGACATTCAACACAATGTGCCAGGCCAAGAGTAGTACAGGTCCATGCAGATCTCGCACACGGAGATCTCAAAGCTAGATTTGATCTTGGGACTCTCATCATCGAAACGGCAAGCACTTGTGTTGATCTTCTTCTACCACTATACGCATCAACGGAGGTCGAAAAAAGGTTTCCCTGGAGGACTCCTTTCGGTTTTTTATTTGTCGGTGGAGAGGCATCCCTCGAAAGAGCAGCGTACACACGACTTTGATGTAGAATCCAGTCAACGTATATCTGCCTCAGTCCGTCGCTTACACGACGTACTTCGGTCCTGGTCGCTTGAAAATGCGTGGAAAATAACTTCACACGTGCAAAGAAGCGCTTTTCGTGGCGACATTAACCCTCTCTCTCTCTCTCTCTCTCTCTCTCTCTCTCTCTCTCTCTCTCTCTCTCTCTGCTTCTACCACCGAGAGAGCGGGACTTTTTCATGGCCTCCGATCGCCCCACTTCTTTGGAGCACCTCGAAATGACACATCGCCTACAACCGGCACGATTCTGCTGCTGTAGCTGACGAAATGTGGGTAGTGCTAATGAGTCGCCTGTCCCACTCTCACCATGCTCTCCTCGATGCACCTAGCGTTGTCTTCATCGTCGGTGCCCGTGGCCTTGTTAAGGTAGGTTACGTCTGGATTGGAGAAGTAGTTTACCCGTGGCACGATCGGGTCTAACTGGGGGTTCGGGTCTCCACCGCAACCGTTTTGGTAGTAAGACATGATGGTGCGGTAGCTGTGGGCACCGCACTCAGGTTGGTTAGTTTATGACGAAAGATCGCGGAGGAAATGAAGGTGTTCAGGGCACGTCCAATACAAGGGTCTACCGATGATGCAATGGATGTTCTCCAAGCCAGGCCATTGGATTTCCCCGCAGCCCATCAGTGTTTGTCGTCCTTTTACTTCTTGTGACTAGAGTGGAACATCCGCAAAGCGGCGACCTGTACCAGAACAAGCGCTGGGTACACATCCGAGGACGCTGGAAAACAAGTGAAAATATATTTGTAGAAATACGTATGGAACGACAAGGCCTTCTCCACCCGATTCACAATCGAAGATTTGAGATATCCCCCCTGTGGTGTGCAAAAGCGATTATCGTCTGCGCTCTGTGAGCGCTTTAGCGTCGTGCTGCAATGGCATTTCTCTCGAGGTGCGTCCTACGGTATGAGGGCCGTGGATCGAGAGACGGCGGGCGCTCGCGGGTGCAGGGAGCCCCCCCCCCCCCACCTCAGATCTCCTTGTGTCGTTTCGTGGAGACAAGGACCAAAAAGAACCCTCCAACATTTTGGAGGGCGTATCGAAACTTACTATATTGCCAAGAACGTGACACCGTGCGAGACGATGGTTCCCAGGAATTTTTCTCCGTTGTGCAAGTGTGTACTATCGTGATGTTGTGCATCTGAGCGTCGCCCGAAACTCAGGGCTTGTCCAGTTCTCGATTCTATCCAGCATAAAAGCGGACTACGACTCTACGAACGTGTCTAAGAAGTGCGTTCCTGTTCTTTGCACGCCCCGTCGGAAGAGATTTTCCTGTGGACCCCGCCAACATGTTGTGACACCTACTCACGGATCGGTCCCCGTGCAGTACCGGTACCCGTGGCGGAAGGCATCCTGCGGGCCGGAGTTGAGTCTGTCGTGGTAGCACCCCATGTTGTGAGCTATCTCGTGGGTGTGTGAGAAATTGTCGAAGCAGTTTGAGCCCACGAGGGAGAAGCCGTACTCGGCGTTACCGTTGAAAACATACCTAAAAAAACAGCACAGGCAGGTCAGTTGGGCGCGCGGAAGGTGTTGAGCCCGACCATAGACAGACGTTTCCATGTTGCGTGAAACGACGACACCACCATCGTGCTTACGGTTAAGTGCATCAGGTATAGGAGTCTGGGAGCACTTGCCGTGCTTCGGAAAACAAATGCTCGCGAGATCTCGCGATGGTGGTTGCCTTACACGCGAAGTCGCCCGATGTTGGCGTAACCGTAGGGAAGCCCGGCGTAATTACAGCAAGCTACAAAGTCTGCAATCACACACCCCACAGTGCCTAAATTACAATCCAATTGTGACCCAGTTAAATATCACCGCATGCTATACAACGCCCTCGAACTGGATCATCGCATCCGGCGTCATGCAGTGCTTACCCTAGTCCACACGTTCCCGGGAAGTATCCAACGAGCTGCACCAGGTCCCCTTGGTATTGGTCGCGTAGATCATCCACGTCGCTGTCCGCGGCCAATGCATCAAGCTCCGGCCCGAGGTCGATGTCGTCGTTGGGGTCGTACGTCATCTGGCTGTACGGTAGCTGCCCGCAGCCAACGCCGGGAGCGCCATCGACGTTCACACGTAAGCACACACAGTTGTCTTCGCAAATCACAAACCGCGCCTTGGTGATAGCGAAAGAACCCCACCGCAAAGCTTTCCAAGGTGCCGAGATTCCGGAACGTTAAAAAAGAGTATGAGGCCTCATTCCGATATCATTCTTGAGCGGTCACTCCAAAATTGACCGGGTAGCCTCATATATTTTTGTTGCGCAAGGGTGCCCCCGCGTGTCGTACCCGACGGCTTTGGGCCCCTCGCCTGTGGTCGGACCGCTTAAATATTGTCCCGGTACAAAGAGTGCCTCAACTCAACCACCCGAGCGCACGAGCCAGTATGTTTTCGTAATATCATTCGCATGACCTGCCATCGATCGCCACATGCCGCACCAATAGAGAATCGAACACAACAATAAACGATTCGCCACGGCTCTGTGTATGAGCCCCCGGCACGCCACATCCCTCACCTCGGCCACGTGGACGAGACGATACTCTAAATCCGCGATTGCTGAGTTGGTGATGGCCTGGTTTAAAGTCACCATGCCTTCGACAATCCTGGTCAACAGCTGCGCGTCAGAGATGCCTTCTGAGGAGGCGGCCTCCGGGGAATAGAAGATCAGGACGTCGATCTTGTCCCAGGCGAATGGGGGGCGAGCACAGAGCATGGTCAAATTACCAAGCAAGCTGGTTAGCGCAACAGGGGAAGCGAATGCTCAGTTGAACTATTTTCCCTCGGACGGCTTGAGTACTCTAGTTTGGCGTTGGACCAAGCCACAGACGATGCAGAGAACTCCATCACACAGCTGATGGCCGCCGTATGTATGCGGGTCGTGGCACACTGTGGGGTCGTCTTTTCAAAAGCGTTCGTTCTAAGATGTTTTCGCACAGGGGTGCCAAGACGTCGATACGTGCCCGGTACCTGTGCGGAAAATGAATTAGCTACTGGTCCTGAACATGTAACGCACACCCCGTGCGATAACTCCGATCCGTGAGAATTAAATAGACACAACGCAGCCAGTGTGGGTTTTTTTTAACACTCCCCTCTCATGCCAAGACCCCGATCGATATCTGTGATCCTGAACAATTGAAACGGACACACACCAACACTTTCATGTCTACGGTGATAGCAGCAAAAGAATGACAACATAACGTGTTCGCCGGTAAAGGATGGCGGGACATGGCTGGCCGATAAAAGGGTTTGGAGCCATAAACAAGAACGTAGTGGCCTACGGGGGATGTACGATGTTGCCTGCCAGCCCCCCCAGGTATGCGTTTTGATTCCCAGTATCCTACCTACCTTTAGTTTGGTCTCGTGAGGTTTGTACGCGTTCTTAGTTGATTGGGTGGATACGGTCCGTCGGTTTCGACAATGAAAGCGTATTGAACAGCAAGACATGTTCTAGAAATACGAAAACGACATCACTCGCACATGAGCAACGTCAAGGGGCCACAGTACGGCAGTGGAGCCCATGCTACAAGCTCCCGTTGTCAGCAGCTTCCCGAAAAAGAGAATGGAAACCACTCGAAGCATCGCCCATGATGACCGAAGGCGTGGATGGCTTCGCACACCCTGTGCGAAGTGAATGATAACTGCGTATTAATCAAATACACAACTTGGAGCCGGTTGTGTTTCCGCACCCCCTGTGCCAAGACCCCGACCCGTGCGGTGTCGCCGATTCGTGCCAAGACCCGTATACGTACGGTATTGAGAATAGTTATGAATTTTGAAGAAGCGCCTTTGGCGGTTTCCCTCAATCCGCAACGTAAACGTCGAAGACCAGCGCTACAGGAGGGAGGTGGGGGGTCTCAACATTGAAATTTCAGGGTTCTTCTGTTCATTTGGGAGTTCAAGTTCTTGATCAGAGAAATGAGAGATAATGCCGAGCGACACCGAACCCTGAAGGTGGCTGTCATGCACGAAAAACATATGGAAGCGGAAACAATTCCCGACAAGAGCTTGACAACACAGTATTCGTCTGAACGAACCCGGGTGGGAAGTGGTGATCACCAGGAATGCACCACGCCGGGACCGGTGGGTATGCCGCCGGCAGTTTTGGCACGATACATATACGATAAAATAGTACACGAAGAGGCTAGCTGAAACCGTGAAATCAAGACTTTGAGGTTGTTGAAAGACATTCAATATTGGTTTTTCATGCTTGGTCTTGAGAAATTCGAAACGACCTCAAAACAGATCGCCATCACTACACTATTGAGTGCATATGTTCGCCTTGGCGTTAAGTGGATGCACTACTTATCGTTCCAGGTCTGTCCTTGCTCTTCGATGAAGTTCGTTTAGCTCGAATGTACATTTATCGCTCTTCCCAGGTGGGTGTGCTTTGACCAAGCGGTATCGGCATCGTGTTGTGAAACAAATCGCCAGCTTTCTAATGCAACAATTGACGCACACACAACGTTTCTTGACTAGTACAACAATGGGCGAGCATCCACTTCGCTCGTAACTACACACTATGACGTCGGGCCGGCTTGGCACTGCCGGCGGTAGGTTTCGTTTTCGTCGCGCGTTAGGTTTTGGAATGTGAAGCGAATCATCTTTCGAGCATTGATAGACTATCGAAGAGGCTGCTACCAGGCACGTACGTACAGCTGCACCCGCTTTCGAGGTTCCGGCGATCTTCGCGTCCACGTGAGCAACTGCCGGTATCTCTCGCGGGGATAGGGTTTTCGTCAACAAAACTACTTCACTTCGACTCTTCTTGATCTACGCTTGGCTCTCGGGTTAAAGAGCATACCACTGTTGTGCCCTGCAGGCTGCGATCGCTTGGTATGTCTTGCGACCGATGCGATCCCTCCTTCGTGTAGGTCGTCGACACACGTCGTTCCTGGCACGAAATCAAAGGATGCGTCGAGGGCGATACACCGCGTAGACACGAAGCAGGGCGAAGAACAACCGAGCGTTTGAGCGTGGGAAGCAGGCTAGCAGGGCGCAGCATGCAAAACCCTCGAGGAGCACTTCGCCGGGGTGTTTGATGAAGACACGCATAGTGTGTTCAACTATGCCTGTGGTTTCGTACGATCTTCACCTGGTGCGCAAGACCAGAAGGACTTCAAGGTTTTGTGATGCCTATCAGGTATCGGAAGACAAACCTTTCTCGTCCGAGCATAGTCTCAACTCACCTTTAGCATCCGAGAGCCTTGGTAATTCGAAGTGGAGCTTGACGAAGAGGATTGTGCGGTGTCCACAGCGTCGCTTTCGTCGTAGAAGAACTTTTCGAGCTGTCGCGTTGTATACGAACACGAACAAGAGGGCAGTAGTCTCCGCTTATGCATACGTACGGATGTTCAGCCTGCCACTCACGTTCAATTGCTACGGACGTTTGTTCCAATAGTCGCAATCCCTGATATTAACGCAAGAACCCAAGTTGGAATCGTTTCATCCCTTCTCGTTTCGTTCAGCAGAACGTCGGGCGTCGCAACTCTGGCAAAGGCCTCTCTGAAACTACGGCATGCACACTGACGCACCTGCACTGGTCTTGTTTATCGCCCTCAACATCACGTACAAGTGAGACGGCCACATTTCGCTGCTCCGTTCAAGTCGCGGCCAAACTCGGGACCACATATGTAGAAAAGCACATTTCTGCGCTGAAGAACTCCAACTCCAAGCAGCGACAACCCACTCACCTCCACCATGCAAATTTCGCTGCTGGATCCGGCGGAGCACGGTACGGATGTGACGATAGAGGTGCTGCCGTCTGAGTTTCGTGACACGAGCTTCAGGAGGAAAGTCTGAGGACGCATCGAAATCGAACAGTCCAGAAACACACGGCGGCGACATCAGACACAGGGAACTGCGGAAAACCTTGCAATTCTACCCAGGTTATGCTCGGTACGGATTGTAGCACGTAGGATGGACAAGAGATAGCCGCCATGTAAGGTTCATACATGCGTGCCCACTTCGTACACCACGTACGACGCCTACTAGCCTGTGGCAATAGACTACAGTTGCCCAGGGACGTGCAGTCGGCTACTAGCATCGGGCCCGTTCTGCTCAGGAATTTATCGCACCCGGTGGCATTGAGCTACCCTGCACCAGGACGCCTACCTCAACGTCGCATGGGTCGGTCCACGTCATACTGACAGTCCTGGGGATGGAATTGGCGGAGGGTTCGGGGTCGACGACTTCTCCCAGCCAGGTCTAGCCACGGACAGGCCGCCACAGGACGTTCGAGATGCGCACGAGTTGCAGGTAGGAGACGCACGATGGCAAGGAAGTGATGAAAACCCTGATACTATAAAGGCTGGAGAGAACATGCTGGGTGAACAGGGTGTGTCGTCTGTAGTCCCTCTCGAAGGGCTGATTGCCCTGCTCTCGCTGAAAAGGCTGTGCGGTTCATTGCCGTGGAACTCAGTCAGTTACATTGTCGGACAGGACACCGGACAACTCGGAAGAGTAAACCGGAGTGTATACGTGATGGCACGACTTTGTGTGGACGATACCGTCCTCCCGTTGACAACTTTCTCGACATGGCCTCCATGTACAAACAGGGACACTTTCATGGAATAAAGTTCAGAGAAGCGGTTTCACAACAATCCTTCGTCAACGTAGGCATGCATTGCGCTTGAGCCGAATATGGGGCGGGTATATCGCCCCGTCCCGGCATTGCAGCGAAGTCAATCGTCTCAAGACTACGGTATGCGTTTTACACGAGTACACCCCCCGCAATGTTTGGTGGACCCACCTTGCGCGTGTTTCCGTCCGGCAGAATGCTGCCGTCAATGGACGAGTAGGAGGTGCGCTCAGCTATCACCGTCTGTCACCAAAGTATCGATTTTGCAACGGTTGACAGGCGAAGCATTCGGCAACAGTTTCGGTGATTCGACAAGAGTGTCTGCGGCGTTCTCCTGCCTAAACGCCCAATGACATATTGCGTGGAAGGCTGCAGGTCGTGTGGCACCAGCTAGGGTATGAAGAACGTTCGAGTGCTATGAGCGAGGCCGTTAACCATGCTCTGCCGCATTGTTCGGTGTTAAGACAGTTCGGTCCTGCTGCGCATCAGAAAGTCTTGCCCCCTTCGCTGTCACCATTCCTCCTTCTGACATCACCAGTAGCTGGGCAAGGCACAACACCTGCTGCTCGAGGTCATCATCTGCCAACAACCGGCGGGTGCTTGTCCCCCGGACCTCACCTCCGTAGAGCTGATCGTGAATCGCAACAGGCTAGAGTCTGAAGCATCCTCAAGGCTGTCACATAGCAGATCACCGAGCTCGATGTCTCCCACAACTGAAAGCAGAGTGAGATGCAAATACGGAAGCGGAGGAGGGATCCGCAAACGCAAAGAGTCGGAGGCTGAAACAGGGCAAGCCGTTGCGCGCAACAATCGGTCTGAGAATCGGAGTGTACAAGTCTATGACTGCCATCCCCAATTTTAAAACGATTAATAGTTATCCATTACATGCGGTCGTACCCGCTTCAAAGGCGCACCAGAAGGGATATGAAAACTCCCCATGATTTTTCTGAGAACCATCGTATCGTGTACCACATGCTAAACGTTGCAGATGTTGTACAGAACGGGCCAAGAGAAAAGAGACAGAATAATCAGGTCGAGGCTCAATTTCTTGTTTCATCGCCACTATCGAACACTGCCGTTTCGCGGAGTTTAGTCTAGGACCACCTCTGAGTGGTGGTGTTTATTTGCCCTATATTCTGCATTTTCGTGAAATGCTAGTCTCCGTTTCTGGAAACATTTCTTAACGGCAGGACTGTTCTGTACACGCGGGGTCGTTTCTTCTCCACGCCCCCCCCCCCGACAACAATCGGGCGGGAACGCGAGAAATTCTCCGGGAGGCCTAACCCTCCGGATGGCTGTGTGTGTGGGTACACAGAGATTCCTTTCGAGAGAGGTAGAAAACGACGAAGTAGGCCTGAGTCGTCTTACATCGTCGATGACAGCCCCCAGCCTTGGCTAGAGCGAGTTTGCTCCAATTTGTACAGGAAGGGAAGGATGGCGAATGCGGTGAAACGTTGCACCAAATCCTTCTTTCTGAGAGCTGTGCGTTCGGTCAATCGTGAAACTCTAGTTAAGGGTATAGGGAAGGAACGGGGGGGAGGGGGTGCAAGCCATGATTGGGTACCAGAAACACTCCGTTCGTTGTAGTCGCATTCTTGGCTGTATCCTTGTTGCACTAGCATTCCGCGCAGAGGAACAAGTGGGTTGACAGCGTACCCTCTACTTCACGCTCTTGTTCTAGCTACAACTTGTTCACCAAAGAAGTTCAAATGTGAGGTTTACCATACATAATCATGTAGAGAGCTGCAGCATCGATGCCTTCGGGTGCGGTGAAGAGACCAGACTTCGGGGGTACCTTGGTATATGTTTTCCTTGGCTGTTCGTCTAGGCGCATCTTTCGACGAATAGAACGCCCCCGTTGACACCAGGGATGGTGATACCACTGTCCACTGAAGACGTTCGAAAGTTTTCCCGCGTGAAAGACACACACACGACACACACACACACACACAAAGAGGTGTGTCTCACATTAAAACCGGACGACTATGTATGGATGATCCGGTTAAATATTGCCGGAATCGCTTGGGAACATATTCCGAGTAACACGCGATTAATCGCGGATCGTTTGGTCGGAAAAGAATTGGTTTTGTTCATTGTTGGCGAGAAAAGCGCGATTCCGTCAGATTTACAAGATTAAATATTGAGTCGTCCCCGCCTTAAAGACACTTGACTTAAGGAAAACCCTCGGGTTTTTGACACCATTTTTCAGACACGTGTTGCCCCGTGGATGGAAAACATTGTAGGGTGTATCATTAATACTCCACGGGCCCACCGAAAAAATCAACATGCGCCGAGAGGCTGCAAAAGCTATTACTCCGCGAATTCTGCCTGTGCGGCTGTCTGTGTCGGTATGCGAGATTCCTTTCGAGCGAAGAGGGAGACACGGCGGTGGTAGGCCTGGGTGGTGAAAAAGCTAGTCGATCACAGAGGCTGAGGTGCGCTCTATTCTCTCTTCTTGAGCAGCTTCGGTTGGTCCTATTTGTACGAGGGAAGGGACGGGAAGGGATGGAAAAAACGCGACAACTCGGGGTACAGAACCCGCACTCAACACAACATGAATACTGTTACACAATGGGGGACTCCGCCGTATCATGGGCCAAAATCAGAGGTTGAACCTTGACCCGACCTTGACGTTTCTTTACCGCCGGCCCGTTCTGTACTACCTTTTTTCGAGTATGCTGTGAACTCGTTCACTCTCAAGTCAACCACACGGGGGTGGAAGACACGACTTGCAATTTCCTGTGGAAGAAGTATTGTTATCCGTGTCCTTGTTGTGCGTTACTCGAATACCGCTCAGAGGAACCAGGGTGTGGTGATAGCGTACCACCGTCGACCAAAGGCTGTTGATATTTCATCCTACCTAAAGCTTGATTGTAACAAGTATTGGAACAAATTTCGGCACACTCCTATGACGTTGCCCGCCGTTTTTCATATTCAGTTATCGTGCTTGCTGAGGTGCATCTTTGGACGTATGTCACGCCTCCATTGACCCAGGGGATGGGGCGATACTGCTGTCCGCGAAAACCCTAAAGAAACTCCCCGCGACAAAGGCACAAAAAGACGATAGCGAGGTTTTTCTTCACAGCGGGGTCGGGGTCGACTGTAGTGCAGTACATGCCGCTTCAGGCGTACTAGTTGTCGTCGACGAAGGGCTAATATCTGCCGCTTTGGGGAAAATTCTGGGAAGTTTTGGGAGGGAATTTGTTTCCTGATCTATCCTGCACCTGATACATACACCGGATTTCGATTCCTCTCACCCGTCGTACGGTTGCTGCCAAATTTGTTTTGCGTGTCATTTCTCACGCCGCCCATGTACGTCTTACCCGTAAGCACAATGCTTGTTTGACAACGCCAGCGCTTGTCTCACCAGTGGTCAGCTCATCGGTCTCGAGCACCTCAACCAGCTCTTCTTCAACTTGATGTTCGTCTTCAGGGATCGGATGTACATGTCCGACGCCCGTGTCCTTGACGTCCTCCTCAGCGAATCTTGCTAGGCCATATCGAGGTGCTGATGGTACCCGGCCACCAGTAGGTTGGGCGAAAGAGAAGTGGTCCGCAAGGAAGACGCACAGAGCCAACAGGAAGCAGTAGCTCCCAGCCAGCTTCATTCTGTACCGTGGCGCGAAAAGGCGAGGATGACTGTTGCAGTTGTGGTTTTTCGCAAGGCACAATCTACCGAAACTGTCGCCAAATGTGGTTTCAATCGCAATAATAGGATTGGTGTTGCTGCAGAAACAATAGAACCAAAAAAGAAATCTTGACCGCGGTGTTTTCCGCGGCCGGTTTCTCTCAACTCGCGAAAGCTGCGAGCACGAGATCGCGGCGGTGCCTTCAGGCGACCTGCGCCTCGACGCGACACCGGTGCCAAACGCAAGCATTGTGTCTTGCTTCTTCCCACACCGGCATCCTCGGCGTTTCTCTCTTTACCGCGGCTGAATTCCTTGGGCTCAAGAACGTTACAACGACGAGGCTCGCGGCCCTGCCTCCGTGGCGACGTCCTAACGAAGCGGTCTCTCTTCTAGTCTATTTTGCTCTTGAAAAACACATCGAAAAGGTCGGAAGGTCGGTGGGGTTACCGACGCCGACGAGAACCTTTTTTCTCGGACACGGGATGGGAATCTGAACCGAGGTACGGCCTTTCAGTGCAAAACGCAACGAGTTCATCACCGTCTGTCTGAAGAGAGTAAGCAAGTTGCCTCCACGTAACATCGTGCGTACCCTCTTGGCGGTGGTTCGCGTGTGAACACGGAAGAGGGCGGGCGTTGTCAAAGAGGACCGGGATGGGTATCGAATAAGAAGTGTACCGAGAGACCCACCGGTTTTTGAATCTGACAAGGCAACAACAACAAAATTGCCCGTCTTTGTATGCCGTACGTGACGCCGTCGTTTTGTCACACGAAAGTCCATCAGTACAAAGGAAAAGCGGACCTCGGATTGCTTAGGGTGCGTGAGCAGGACGAGTTTATTCGGAACAGCACTCGCCAGCCAAGCGACTCTCAGCAATTGTGTTCACAGCTTGACAGCTTGGCACCATTCAAACCACTGCCGCTGTACAATAATAATGCTCCGACTTTCCAATTTATTTATTGCATGTGATTACCACGCAGCTCCAGCAGTGTTTACACATCATTGAGGCTCTAGTGTTTACACATTGATAGTGTGGATCTTTAGGACTAACTGACGCTTTCTGACTGGTCGGGCGTTTTTAACGGCCGATTCCTCTCCAGCGCCTTCTCCCCGTTCCGCATTCCGAGCACGGGGCGCAGCCGCGTGCTCGTCCAGTTCGCGGCCGCTAGGCCGTGCGTTGGCCGTGGGTGAGGGTTAGGGATGGGGTTGGTTGGGGTGAGCAACCTAGCCTTGCTCGCGTGAGGAACCTAGCCTGAGTGTAACCAAGGCTCTATGTTGTTGTTGTTGTTGTTTGTTGTTGTTTTTGTCTTCACCGTTCCGTTCTCTCTGCCGAGTGCCTTCTTCGGTTCCTCTACTGCAGTAACACTTGACGGGGTCGATTGCCGTGGTCACCGGCTAACTTACCCAATAAATACATCGCAAATTACAACGGCTGTTGCTGGTGTGAGAGGAAATCGGAACGAATTTTTTGTCGGGGGAGAACAGAAACTGCTGTAGCATCGGGTGTCCGCTACATATTATGCGCGTGCATTTGCAAAATCCTAGCGTTGCGTCGGGTGTATGCGTGTGCGTGCACAAAAGAATCCTTATAGGGGAAATGGGTGCTGCTGTGTATCCGAGCTTCTCCGTGTCGAAAGAGTGTGGGTGTGAAGTCATCGCCATTCAGCCTCACCGTTTTGAAAGAAGACAATAACAGCACAGCAGTGACAAGATGTACTGTAGTAGATACCGACAGTCGCCGTGCCCAGCCCGGCGGCGAAAACTGCTGTAGCATCGGGTGTACTATGCGTGTGCGTGCACAAAATCCTAGCGTTGCGTGTGCGTGCACAACAAAAGAATCCTAGGGGAAACGGATGCTGCTGTGTGTCCGAACTTCTCTCTCGAAAGTGTGGGTGTGAAGTCATCGCCATCCAGCCTCACCTAGCACAGCAGTGACAAGATGCAGACACCGACAGACACCGTGCCCAGCCCGGCGGCGGGTGTGTATTATGTATTGCTGAAAGGAAGAAGAACGTGACAGTCGGGCGCGTGTGTTCCCGGGTCGTTCCTTCGCTTTCCTTCCGCCGTCACCCCGAGGCGACCTTGTGGACTTCCGGCAGTTTATGTGAGGTCGGCGCACCGTTGATGAGTGCCACATAGATGGCGGGCATTCGATGTGCTCGAGGTGTGGCAATGCGCCGAGGTCGAAGTGAGTGGTACGCACGGCTGGTGGTCTGGTGATCACACGGCCAATCTTGCCCTCAGCAGCTCTTTTTACCTATCGGTGTTGGATCGGGAGGGACACACCTGCGTTGTGCCATCACCCAAAGCTCGGTCGGCCACATAGTTACGCGGCTGAGTGGTTCGACAGGCGATCTCCCAACCTTCTGACGGTTGTTTGGGACATGTGGGGGCTCGAATCTCCGCGCACTTCGTGCAGACACGAAACAAGTAGCACCTGCTGCCTCGCCGCTTCGCCTCTGCGGACCTATTCCAATTCGCCCCTGCAGATGCTAAAGCCCAACATGTAATTCTTGATAAATATTCCTGATTCATGTGTACCGTTTTTAATGTGAAGACAACAACAACAATACGACACAAGATCAAACACCCCCGGACTGATTTTCAAAGCTCGATTACACCGCGACAAAAAAGAGGCCGCAACATAATAGTATAAACGAAACGATAGCTCTTGACAAGACAGCTTCAACGCCGCCGTTTTCGGCGTTGTGAGTCTCTCGACTGTTGAGAAATCGAGCTTTGAAAATCGGTCCAGGGAGTGTGTTACTGTGTCGTGTGTAGTTGCGTATTATGTATGTGCATTTATTTTGGCGGGTTTCATCATGAACGCGATGACGTTTTTGGGATTGGAAGGAAGCAGTGTACGCAGCGATAGAACAAAAAATAGTGAAGCTGACAAGGGAGAGGCTAGGAAGCCCCTTTACAGGCCAGATATGTTTTGCTGCAGAGATGAAAATGATCGGAGTAGTCGGTGGTCCTCAATAATAGCGTGCCAAGCGATTTCGGTGCCGCTATAGAGGGCATTCCGCTATTGAGGGTACCATCATTGAGGACCGCCTGTGTAATCTGGAACAGAAGTTCACCCGCGGGATTGTGTTGCCGGTCGGAGTGAATAAATCTGTGTGTTGAGCCGTGTTCGTACTGCCGATAATGTATGGGCACAACCCGCGGCGAGAGATGGGCGGAAGCTTGGCTTGGTGGCGACGTTCGTGTGAGGAATGCATGTGTTGGCTGCATCTGTCGTTGAAGACACGGCAACGACGCTGCTGCAGTATTGCGGCTTGTAACTAGGTAATGAACGGTGGGTGATAATGAGAGCCGCGGGTGAGCCGGTCGCCCCGGTGGTCTAGTTGGTAGCCTCGTAACCTTCTAGATGTCAGGTCAGGGGTTCGAATCCCGGCGTAGGCGAGCTTTTCTTGCAAAGTGAGTTTTTCTCTCGCTTCCGCTCCTGGCCAAGTGGATAGCGCTAGTTCGTGTGTACACAGAGGGAAGAGAGTGCTGAACTCTTCTCGCATTAAAAACTGAAGGCGAAGTACCGCAGGAGGGGAGGGTAGAGAGAGGCTATTCTGTGTGACCACGGGTTGGAATAAACGGCACTACAAGTGCTGTGTGCTGTGAGCGCTGATTTGAAGTGAAGAACAAAAAAAAAAAAAAAAAAAAAATGAGCCGCGGGTGACGACTCAAACCCTGCGTAGTCTATAGTCTATAGTCTATCTGCGATGCTGTGCAAGGTGCGAGACACGCTGCGTTCCAGGCAGCACCCCAGCAACCCAGTACGCGCAATTATTCATTGCTTACTTTGCGCAATCGAACGGATCTTCCACGACCCTGTACCCGCTCCCGCAGGAAGTTGGTTAAAAATATTTCTCAAAGTCAACAGCGGAGGAACATGCTCGCCTTTGCTACAACACAACAGCAGTACAGTTGTACCTCCAACGATTGGTAGCTTACACGAATGCACTTGGCTCAATACAGCGTTCAGCTCACCAACATGAACATGACATGGTCTGCGTTGCATGGACGTCCCGACGTTCATCACGTATCGGTCACTCGGGGCTGCGGATTTGTAAATGATTCACAGCATCGACCATAGCCGCGCAGTACACGTCTCGGCCGTTCTCGCAGACTCGGCATCTATCACCCTATGGAACCCCCGCCCACTGGGGGGGGTGGGCCAGATGCTTCACCCTACATTATTATAGTATTTTTCTACAGACAGAATGGTCGTCTTTGTCGGATCATGGATTGTGCGCACGTTCCTCGAACTGGCGACAATATTGGCTGGGACCGCTACAGCACGGCCATGTCTTCAACGCACACCCGCTCACCAAACAGCCAACTACGTTCGAGAACACGCGGCCCGCAGTGACGTGGATACAGGATATCGTGTGGTGGTGGGTGGTGTGGTGGCGTGGTGGGGCTGGATCTCCCCCTTGTGGTTTGGGGAAAGAACAAGCGACAGTGCAAATTCGTGAGACTGTATAGCACTTTTTGCCATCCAAAGTCTCACTTGATCACGGAAGGGACACATCTGTGGGACTGAAATACATCGTGCACCTCGCTCACGTTCACCAATATACCCTTTCCGCTGAAACTCACCAATCTGGAGGTCGCCGAAAGGCCGAATCCTGGCAGCGTGCTGCGTGGAGCCACCGACCAAGATAGCCATGCCAACAGCAGGTCCATAAGGATTCCGATGTTCGACCAGCAGTGGTGTGCGGCAAACACGCAAGGCATGGTGTGCCCGAGCATGAACATGGGAAACGTGTTTGTCTCTCCGTCTGTGCCATGGTCAGCAGTGGAGTGAAAAAGCGGGTTGGATCCCGGATGGACTATTACCCGCCGGATCCCAACCTTCTTCTCCGGTTGCTGTCGATATGTTTGAGACCGCCACCGCACTGACATGTCTGCCTTCGGAGCGCATTCGCTGGCCAAGGTGGCCACTAATGTACACGTACGTGCATGTGCAGGCCTGCCGTGAGGTGGATACCATCGGTGATAGATCGCCTTGGATCGCAAATGAACCCGGACATGGTTGTACTTACAGTAGTCTCTCTACCTTACATTCTGTGACTAGTCTCTGACTTCGGAATTCACCAGCAGCTTCACAATGTACGCGTACAGCGCAGGAGTTCCAGCGCACCTTTATGTCTCCGCCTCAACCCATGAATATTCCAAGGGCAAGCTGCTACCAGGATCAGGAAAAATTGGAACCCCCGAGCTCCCGTCCGCTTGTCGAGCGATATGGATACAGTCCAGCCGTTGCGCATTCTGTTAGAGAAAAAACAAAACCCACAACTGAAAAGAGTTGATGCATTTGTTGTGTTTCGTTGAACTAAATCCGGCGGCGACTCGTGACCAAGCACTTCAGTCTAACGACCACAGTCCCCGACAAAACAGCGAAAACAGGTGTGGAAAAGGTACAAAAAGAGCCTCTGGCAACGGCAGCAGCCAATCGCAACAAAAGCGACACTACGTAAAGATAGGGAGCTGATCTCGCAGAACCCAGCGGACGGGTAGTGCCACAAAAACCAACCGCCCTTGAAGAGCCTGCGCTCAAGGTGGGCACCACCGAAATGTTCCATCAACCTCCGTTGGCATTGCCAAAACGCGTTCCATCAAGACGCAGACCTGCGGGTAACTCAGACAGGCCTGATCATTAGCGCTTTACCGCAAGCACTGCAGGCCGCTTCCCTCTACATGTACATGTCAACCCGACCATCCCGGGGCCTCCGAGCATGTTCTGGTGCAAGACGCCACCACGCAAAAAACACAAAAATCCCCGAAAGAGTGGCAAAGCAAGCGAGACAAATGACAGCATCAACTTTCCAAGCTGCCGGAAGGCCACCACCCTCCACTCCTTGTAACGACCGATGGAACCACTGGTGAAGCCCCTAAAAATATGTTCGCAGCACCGAAGTTCGTGCCAACCCTCGCCCGCACTGTCTTGCAGAGTGCGCCGTCGGTTCAAAAATAAGTATGCAGTACATTGGATGAGTCTTGTTCTCCACCGCACCGTTTCCGTCTAGCCGCCAGGCATCTACTTCCGTGTGATAATCTCCAGTCTGGAGGCGCATTGGGGACGAACGCGAGGAGGGGGGGGCGAGGTCAAGCCTACCCCTTTCGCCCGTCCAACAATTGGCAGCGCGCGTAGCCTACGACCATCCAATCCTTCAGGGAAACACGCGCGCAGGCTTGTAGGAAACCTATCCAGCGCAAACCTGATCATCGCCACGTTGAACGTTAGACTTTCTATGCCGCTTGCCCTGCCCCATCACACAACCATACCTTCCCAGAGAAGAGTAGAGAGGGTTCGCCGCCGGCGGTCGAGGCATCAAGCCTCCCAGCAGGTTACGCGGCGACACCTGAGGGAAAAAATACGTGTGACAACATCAACCGATACGAAGGCCCAGGTTCGATGGGCGGAGAGGGCACAGAGACCGCGGTAAGAGGGATGCCAGCCATTTTCGCTATCTCCGCACACAAATCGACTTGGAACCACTCGGTAGGTCACCCGGAGAGGGCGGTCGACGACGGCAACGACAGGATGCGATGGCAGAATAGTCACACGAAAGCAAAACCTTCAAAGAAAATAAATCCTGCCGACTGCAGGGTAAGGTTCGATGGGACTGAGGTGCTTCAGAGATCGCTCGGACAGCGTGGTTGGGCTTAAAAGAGAAGTTGAAACATAGATGCCACCGACCAGCACATTGCACTCGAGCGTGAAGGATCGTGTTGCTGCGGAGATGGTCCCCAACACAATGGAGGAACAGAGCGTGGACCCGCACGTCCATCATCCCGGGGGTCCCCTCGCGGCGAGCTCCGGGGATTCAAAACCATCGACTGTTACACAGAATGGAACGCCGGTTATCCGAGAGCGGCGCATGTCGACGTTCGGCCTGCTTTGGGAACGCCCGTCTCGGGTTGACCCCATCTACCAGTGCTCCCCCAGAACATGGACGTGCGCCAACACCAAGCTCGCCTCAAAACGATCGCTCTCAATACATACACGGCGTTCACAACTCCTCAGAATATCGGCTCCCGAGGAAGCGTCGCGACACCGTTCCACCCAGAAACCCACCTGCGCTCCGTAGAACCGCTCGTTCACTCGGTCCGCGACTCGAAGAAAGCCGGCCCCGACACCGAACCCGGCGAATAGGCCCTTGGAGAGGCTGTAGCGGGCAGCCTGGACAGCAGTGTTGGGTGTGTGTGAGAGAGAACGTGGACATGAGATGGGGAACGGCACGACAACACGAACCGCACAGCTCCATCAGAGTCAGCCGGAGAAAAAATGGAAATGAATTGGAGAAAACCGGGAAAAGACGTAGAGTGAACCGGCGTACAGAATGACCGAAGATATTTTCTGCGGAGTGACCCAGGTTGTAGCGGCGTCGGAGTGCAATGGAGTGAAGCGAAACGGAGTAATCAGGAATGGAACGTAAACAATGTACACCAAAAGGTGCCGGCACTACGAGGAGTAACAAACCGGACTGGAGCAGTGAAACCCACGGGGAGCAGTGGGAGTGAAGCCGAATGAAGACGGTCGTGACTCTAGGTGCAATGGAGAGAATTGAAGTGAATTACGGTGCAGCAGAGCATGGCCGAGTTTAGGGTGATGTGGAATGGCGAAATGAAACCCTGGGAGTAAAGCACAAGCGACGTCACGCAGGGGGGAGTGAAGCCGCAAGAAACGTAGTGAGTCAGAGGAAAGCAGAGTGAATCAGAGAAAGAGCGAGTGAAATCGGGCGAGGCGTTGGAGTAAAGCAGGGAGTGAAGCGGACCACAGTAAGAGAGTAGCGAATCAGAGAGTGGTGTACCAGAGTGAAAATCGGAGTGAAAAGCATTGGAACGGTGGGCGGAGCAGGCATGGGAAACCTACAAGGCGATACTGAATACTGATGGCACGGAAAGCAAAAACTGGACCCAGGTTACTTCACGGAAATGAGCCGGCGAGACGGGGGCCGTCTAAACAACACGCCTGCATATGCGGGCGCGCATCGCAATACTCACTCGAGTTAGGGCTAAGGGCCGGAGGAAACACCCGTGCATCCAGAGGGCTTGTTGGCCGAAAGGACGACACGAGCGGGTGACGAGACACTTTGTTTCGGAAGAAGCGGAACGCTGGGGGCGATAGAACCCTCGAAAAGACACACAGCACAACCAAACAAAAAAAACTAAGAAGACCCAGCGAGAAAACAACCGGCGGCAATGCGACGACGGCGGCAAAACGCAAACCGGCCAAGAAGTGCAATCTACATACCATACTCACAAAATCCACAGCCGGGGCCTCCCCGGGCCACGATCGACCGCCGACGGCGGAGCCGACCGACCTCCCCATCGGGCCCACCGCCACGGCCGCGTCGAGATTGGCGTACGCCTGGTCAGAACCAACCAGTGACGGGGGGGGGCACCGCAAAATAGCGCGAAGCGTGAGTCTCTAGTGTGAACGGCGGGGGAGAAGTACTGTCTGTTGCCCCTTCGCGGCAGGAGGCTGGCAGACAGAAACACATGCAGGTTGCTCCTAAAGGAAAGGTCGGCAAGAGGGAGAGACCCCCGCAAGCCGGCCGGCCAACGACAAACAGCATTTTTGCGGACCTCTCCCGACAACAAAAATGGAAAACCTTGCGATCTCGGATGCGCATGTATCATTCATGGCAGAGGCAAATGATCCCAAAAACTCGCAGCAGGGCTTCGGCCGTAATGCGTCCCGACATTGACGACGAACTTGTTGGCAGAAGGAGGCGGAGGCAGCAAAAATATGTGGCATGTCAGGACAAGATTCAGGCTACCCCGGTGCAATATTGCCAGACTCGTCAGCGATAGCATTGCGAGAAAAAAAAAAAGAAAAGATGCGTCGTGCGCGTCACGGGTAATTAGCGCGCCGGAAAAGCCTACCGCTGGAATGCACGTGCGCGCCACGCACCATCGGGAGTCGGCACGCAAGCGCCTGCTAAAGGCCAGCATTCCTACACTATGCGGGCGGTCAGAGTCGTCAGCCGCCAAAAAAACTGTGCACGTGCGCTATTCTGCTGGTGTGTGATACCAACCACACGAAAGGACATCATCATCTGCGACCGTCGTCTACGCAGGGTGTTGACGTCCCCATGTCGTGTTTCGTCACCTGTCCACCGCACTTGAGCATCTCGACGGCAGCATCGGACCTCAAGGGAATCACGACATCCACAACCTGATGGCACAGCAGCAGCAAAAGCAGGGCAAAAGCAGACGCCAAGCAAAGCAGCACCGGAAGAAGCACATCAGCTCTGTGCGCCGTTCGCGGGCGCGAGGCCGTCCTGTGCACAAACTTACAGCTGCGCAGAAATCCCATCCTAGGTTGTTTGTCCCTTACAGCTCACCCGTTCACGTCGAATTCAGCCCGTGAACACAGGCCAGTCAAGGCAAGCAAAGCTTCAAGCAGATAAAAGAACGGGCCCAGGGGGGGGGGGGGTCCCAGTTCATCACCCAACAAGGATTGGGGGTCCCAGTGTATTATCCCAGGGGGTCCCAGTGCATTCTCCAACAAGGATAGGGGTCCCAGTGCATCACCCAACAAAGATGCCCCGATGTACAAAGCCGATAGCAACGTCAGCCCCACGACTGCAGGCCGGGGGAATGGAGAAAGCGAGCAAGATAGACAACCGTACGAGGGAAGACCAACGCACAAGCGGGGGAAAGATAGCACAGTAACCACGCTACTAGTGCAGCAGCAGAGCTAGAGCACGGAACTCGAAATCGACAGCGTCACGCACACGACAGCGCGGATACGATACGATAAGCGGGACACCTCCCGACGTCAACGTGGTTCCCATCAAGGGCTGTGCGTGAACAGAACATCGCACGAGAAAAAAATACGCTGATTTGCAGGAGGCTGGGACAAGCTGGTGTTAGGCATCCTTCTCCCCATCAAGCGATGCGTCTCATGCGATTTTCTCGTCGGATGAAACAAAGGTAGCCCTCCTCCCCCTCCAAAAACAAAAAAAAATGCTAATGGGCGGGCTCCTCTACAATCAAAAAAAAAATATATACGACATTGATTCATTCGCAAGAAAAAAGCCAACACATCCGTAGATCACATCCGCGACCTTGCTTTCCTTTACCTCGCATCCGGCTTGCAACCCCCAGGAGAGACCAAACATCTGCACGGCCGCCGGCGCGGACCAGTTGCCGTCCGGGAGTCTGGCGACGCAGAGACCCGTCCCCGCCTCCGCAGCGTACAGGAAACCCGCCTGGTTTTTTTGTTTCCCGTCGTTTCGCGGCGAGAAAACAAGCAAGGGCAGGGCAGAGAGCGTCAATTGTGGCAAGGAAGTGACGGACAGGTCTGAGTGAGCGTGATGGTACAGATAGCAAGAGCGGGGCAGAGCATTCATCGTTGGACTTGGCACGAGGAAGAGGCGGACAGGTCTGAGTGAGCGTGATGGTAGCATACAGATACGCTCGGCCTGCGGCGTTGTCCGCAAAGAGATGGTGGCACTGCTGAAACAGCAGCAGCAGCAGCAGCATCAACACAAGGTAGCGACACAACATTCAATCAATGCTGTGAAACATACGACCAACGTTGTTGGCAGAGGACAGCACATGGGAAACAACAAATACCACGGGTGGGGGGTGATTTTGGCCGACGACTGGGTGGCAAAAAACAAATTCAGCATCACTCTTAAATCCTATATCCTGGAGGGTAAACTGTCAGAAGCGATCGCACACAGCCAACCCTGCACCCCCAAAATGAACGCGATCACGTCGCCAACAACAACAATAACAACAACGACGACAGCGAACCTTGGCGATAGTGACGAAGACGAGGCCGATAGCACCGCGACAAAGTGACTGCGAAATTCTCTGCTCGGGCCTGAGCATGAGGTTCATCCCATCGCAGTCGCACCCCTGCCGCCGTTCCAGGATGTTGTTCAGCGTGTTGGCCGATTTTCGCACCTGCTGACACGCAGGCATGGAATCGTGAGGGAGAGAGAGAGATCCTTGATGAGGGCAAAGGGCCGAGTTAGGCAAAAGCAGGGGGAGGCGCCGTGCGGGGGATGGACGACGAGCGGGCTACCTACTGACTCATCACATTCGACTTTGAGCTATCTTAGAACACTGGGCTGGCGGGCCCTCTGCATATGTCGGCAGAGAAGCAGGTCACAGGAGGAGGGAGGGTCGGTGCCGAATAGGGAGGCAACGAAAATATCTCACATCATCTCTCATCCGGAGAGAGAGAGTTCCGACTAGGAAAACGTTCGGCATGGGCACCCACCCTCCAGTCGGGAAGCGGAGCAACTGAGCATTTCCGCAATCGGCCCGAGGGCGTTTTCAAGTACGCCGTCACATGCGGTAACCAGCTTGCATCGATGCACCAAACTTCCGCGCGATTCTCGGATTCACACTCATCAATCAATTTTGATGGGAAAAAAACAATCCGCTGTCGCACATTGCAGCACTCGATGGCAGTAAAACGTCCCGCGAGATCCTGTCGACAACAAAATCGCGATCTTCCATGGAGGAAGCACCCCAACCACTCCCATCGAGGTAGTGGTCCAAGAGTCAAGTCACGCAGGCAAAAGGGTCCGCGTACGGTGCGCCAGGTTCAAGCCTACCGCTTTCGGCAGTGGTTCAGGAGCCAAGTCACGCGGGGACAAGGGTCGGCGAAATGCCAAGCCGTACGGAGTTTTATCTGAATTGAGCGCTAGGTCCAAGCCAACCACACACGTTAGTGGCTCAAGAGTCGCGTCGCGCCGGGCGAAGAGTCCGCGCAAAGGACACTGCTGTACTGCTGTACTGCTGTAGCACCCACCTCGTGCGCCAGGTCCAATCCGAAGGGGGGGTTGCAGTGTCTCGCCGCGGAGTCGGTGTTGAAGTCGTTGTGCCTCCGGGCCTTACTCACCTTCGACAGCAACTCCTCCTGAGAATCACACGCGATATACGAATCAGCAAAAATGCAAAGCCAAGCGTTGCGAGACCAGGCGGGATGGCATGATTCGGTGAACGAAAGGCCAAGTGTGGCGAAAGCGGCGGGGGGAGGGAGTACTCACAGTCGTGCATGCCGTTGTCGTTAGACCATTGACCCCGAGAGTGGGGGGGGTGGCACTATTTGGTAAACAATTGGTCAAGTGCTGTGAGAAGCGGGGAGAGACCTATTTCGGTGAATGATGGCCACATGTGGCGAGGGAGAGGGGCACAGAGCACGGAGCCACAGGTGCAACGACGGTCGTAGCAGAAGGGGGAAATAGTGGAAAGTGGAAGACAGTTGGGGGGGGGGGGGGGGGGGAGTATGCATGGGAAGAGAAAGAAGCATGATGATGCACCAGAGCATGCATAGCTCTCTCATAGTTCCCACCCACGTACAGCCCGTTGGTTGGTTTATCACAACGAAGTGTCGAAGTTCAGTGCACCTACTTACCCCGCAAGATGCGTGGAGGTCCCGAGGTGGTGCAAGCGGAGCAGCAACTAATATATTCATAGTTCGTGTCTCGAAGGTCTGCGAAAATTTGAACTGACAGCAAACAAAAACACTGCGCGACCGCACGCAACACCTGGACAACCTCATGCATACAACCAGCGCCAGCAGCAACAAACAGCCGCAGCATCGGCAGCGCAACGACAAATCAGTCAACACCAGGCAGAGAACAATCGACGGAAGGCTGTAAACAGCGACGACGAAATCCGCCGTTGCAGCGGCAGAGAGCCGTACCTGAGACGCCTGGACGTCGGCGTAGCAGGCGTTGCATACCCTGTGAGGCCTTGTCGGGTCTAGGGGATCCTTTCCGGGGGGTGTCACCGGCTCCGGCACTAGACAACGATGCCGGCTGCAGTTCTGGCAGAAGATCGCCCCGCAGCATCTGGACACCAGAAGCAGCAGTAGCAGCAGCAAAAGCAGCAGTAGCAGCAGCAAAAGCAGCAGCAACAGCGAGGAACAACGAACAGCGAGAGCAACCGCGGCAACAAAGGGCAGATCAGGAGGGAAGCGAGATTGCTGCTTGTCGGGATGGTTCGGTACTTGCTTTCATATCTCGCAAGCGACGCTGGTTCCGAACCATGCATGGCGCATTCCATGATCAATCGACAAACAACACACCAGGTTCGCTGATGGCGATGCGCCGCGAGCGGAAGGCGAAGAACATGTCACAACTTCCGGTGAACTAAGTTGAACCCGACCTGACCCTTCCTGCCTTCCTCCACCGGAGAAGGTGAAGGAAGAAAAAGTCCAGACTGCACCTCGTTTGAAAAACAATTGGAGGTGGCGACTCTACCCCGCATGTTCATTTATTCGCCAGCAGAGCGCTAGTGCGACAGACGCACGGATGATTGTGTGCACGGTCAAAGCGATGCCAGAAGCACGTGCGAGGAAAGGTGGACAAAAACCGACAAGATTTCAGGACGTTCGATGGTGTTTAGTGCACCGAGTGTGGCGAGGCCTTTCGTCTCTCAAGACAGCTACCCCGGCTGGTGCCCAGGCACGTCGCGGAAGCCCGAGCCCAAAACAGAGTCGCAAACCAAACGAACCACGGTGCCACAGAAAGGGTACAACAGCCACAGAAAGGGTAACAACAGCCACAGAAAGGGTAACAACAGCCACAAAAAGGGTAACAACAGCCACAGAAAGGGTACAACAGCCACAGAAAGGGTACAACAGCCACAAAAAGGGAAACAACAGCCACAGAAAGGGTAACAACAGCCACAAAAAGGGTACAACAGGCACAGAAAGGGTAACAACAGCCACAAAAAGGGTAACAACAGCCACAGAAAGGGTAACAACAGCCACAGAAAGGGTGTAACAGCCACAGAAAGGGTACAACAGCCACAGAAAGGGTATAACAGCCACAGAAAGGGTACAACAGCCACAGAAAGGGTAACAACAGCCACAACAACAAAAAAACAACGAAAGTTCATGCACCTTGCAGAGTTCCAACCAGTAGAGAGGAGTACAACAGTTCTCATTGCACACACCACCAACAACAGAATATCGAAAAGGAGACCAAAAACCCTGACACACACATCCTACCTGCCAAGCGTCTTAGACAGCAACTCGTCTCCCGCACCACAGCAGTGTTCTTTGGATGCTTCAAATATCGTTTTGTTTCGAAAGAGAACACAGACGCCCCCCGCCGCAACTAATTGTTTTCTTGGGGGGGCGGGTGTTCAACATAGACTATCCCGCACAATCGAAAAAGCAACGGACCAACGCGCCGGCAGCGGTAGGGCCCGTCCCGGGTGGTGAACTCATTTTTCTTGTTCCTTGTGTTGTTGATACGTGCACAGACTCATCCCGCCACTTACCACAACATTAGACGAAAAGGAAGGAGACAAAATCATGCGCCCGCTTCGTGCGCCCGCACACCAAATGCGTATAACCACGAGCAACGAACGCACCGGCAGTGGTGGCGCCTCTCCAGGGTGGTGAACTCCGTCCCGCAGGCGTTCATGCACTCCGACACCTCCTCGTCCCTCACCCACCCGTACGTCCGCAGGTGGGTCCCCAGGACGGAGATCGAGGCACCGCCGCCGCCGCCCCCGCCGCCGCCCCCGCCCCCGCCGAGACCGGCGCCAATGCTGCCGCCGCTCAGGCTGAGGCTACCGCCGCCGACGCCGCTACCGCCGACCCCGTTCACCGACCCCGCCCGGCCGGTCCTGGTGACGACGCCTTCCACGGGTCCGAAGGACGACCCGAGTCCCCGGGCTGATGCGTGCGTGGTCCACACAAAAAAAAAAAAAACACGCCAGCAAAGTTCGAAGGGGTACACGCATGATTTTCATGCCTTAGTTGATAGACCATTGACCAATAAGCTGTTTCTGCAAACACCGGAGGGAAATGGGAGCAGTTTCGGTCTTTGGGCCGTTCAGGGAGTGGCAGAAGCAGGGGGCGGGGACGCTCGAGATTTGGGCAGAGAGGGGAATTTGGGTAGATACGGAATAAGCCAAGACACGCGCGCGAGGGCAGGGGGGGGAGGCGCATTCATGTGACCAGCAGCTTCTCGGGTGTTCCTTTCCCATGCCTCGCCTGGCCTCTCTGATATCACTCTCCGTGTCATCATCGTGTCACCGTAAAACACGGCGCAGCAAAAAAGCACACGAAACGACCGCAGCTGACAAACCAATTCATGGTCACCACCTCCCACCCAGGAAGCAGCAGCGCACACCCCCATCCGCCACGTCCGACCGTTTCAGCAACAGTCGGCGCGTTGCACCCCCTCTCCCTTAGGTCTGGAAACAACTGAGCCATGCAGAACATGAATACGCCCCCGCCATATTCAACAACACCAACACTCGTTGCGCCGTCTTTCCCAAAACAAAAAACGCACACACCCAAGAAGGTTTGCTGTTGCCCACCCACCTGCACACGGAGAGAAGATGTTACCCGGTACACCGCGGCCAACGCTCCCGTCTATGCTCGTCGACCCTCTTCTCGACCTGTGCGGAGTCTCCGGGGTGTTGCCCCCACTCATGGCCTCTTCCCACTGCTTCTTCATCGCCGGGGCTGTTCGGAGCGTGGGGGGGGGGGGGGGGGGGGGGGCCCCCGGGGGGTTAAAAAAAAGGGGGGGGGGGGGGGGAAACAAAAAAAAAAAAACCCCGAGGGGGGGGGGGGGGGAAATTTGGGGCCACAAGGGGGAAAAGGGGGGGTCCCCCC